TGCGAAGTAAAAGGAGTAAAATGAGTTTAAAATGACCAAAATATGTCACTACAGGCGTCCCACATTCGTACTGAGGGCAAACGTAGCCTTAGTGGCTGCTCCTCTGGGATCATTCTCTTGAAGAAGATACTCTCATTCGATTAATACATTAAATTCCTTTCATAAATGTCTGTTCTTACTTCCATTATCGTGCTTGTATCTATATTGATTGTAGCTTAGTAAATAACTCTTTATTATTAATCTGTGACGGATTATCGCTCCAAAAGGCATTATTTAATGGAGAGTTTGCGTGCCAGGGAAAGCCCTGGATATAATATGTTTTTGTGGAAGCAGTAAAAGGACTAAACCTGCCGCTAGTGTTTATGAATTATTGAAATGGGTATGCTTTTAAACTTAATGCTGAAAACCCAACGGAGCGAGCGGACTTTGATTTATAGCACCTACTCGGAGGGCTTTAATGCTATTTATGCGTTTCTGTTTCAGTGGACCACCAAAAGCTCAAGATATATTTTTTCGAGAGCATTTTTTAGAACTATTAATAAAGTCCTCGCCCGATCACAGCAGAAATCCGCCTTTAAGCTAAGTCAAGGTCATCGCAACATCTTAAAAAAATGAAGTTGACTATGTTGCTTCTTGAGTCGACAAATCATAATAGTGCAAAACTGCGTGGAACAGTGCAAAAACAGTCACAGCACTGGTGGGGTACAAAGGGATCTGAGGAAATTCAATGATATCAGGAGATTCGAGATTTTAAAGGAGATTTAAATACTTAAAAAACAAAGATTTCAAAGGAATTGTGTCGCCAAGAAGATCCAATCAAACAAATTTAAGCCTAGAAGGTCTTTCGTTCCAATAGTGTCAGTCAGCCTACCGATATCAGTGGCCGGTTCATCACTTGCTATACTTGTTCACCAAAGTGGAAAAAAGTAGTAACACATCCTACGCCACTGATAACGAGGCATGTCTTTGTATCAGTAAAGCCGGCCCCTGCCTTATGCAGAGCCACGCCACGTTAATAGTGGTGTACAATGTGTTATGCTACTCTCCTCCGCTGTGGTACCAGAATATATATATATATAGGGTGTTTCCTAATTGAATGTAAATATTTCAGGGGGGGACTTTTAGTAGAAGTAAGAAAACGTGGGGGTGAGGTTGTAAGGGGTGGGGGGCTTATCTATCTATTTTTGGTGCTGGTACATTTATACGCTCCCAACACTGGCAAGTACGCACTTATTAGACATATTTCACACATCACATATTTCACACATCACAGATTTCTCTGTACATTAGCTAAACTATTCTCGGGAGACGGATCGCAAGCCTATCGGTCGCGGCTGCTGCTGACGACGTCCGCCGACCATGATGAGTGTTCTGATATGGAATCACACGTATTTCTACCACAACATATATACATAGTGCCCAACTTCTCGGAGCGACTAGTTTTTTTATACTCCAGCTACCACGAAGGCCTAGAGGGTCTAAACACCCATGGGTACCTTGGTGCTATAGGGGGAAACAGGGGAAAGGGGGACTCTGGCGAGGGAACACGTGTGCTTGGAACATGCACACATTCTGGTCCCGCCTACGAGATCCGCCGGGTGGTACCTCCGCGTTCGACAGTCAGAGACCATCTACCACATACGGACAATCACAACAGCCACAGCCAAGAGAAAAATTTCTCTTGGGATGGGATTCGAACCCGCACAGCGCACGGCGACCGATCAGGAGACCAACGACTCTACCACTCTGGCCACCGCTGCCGAACATATTCCTTTATGGAATGTACAGTGCCAATCCACTTGACACCATTTTTTGTCATACTTGATGGCGGCTTTTTCCGCAGAAGGGCAAACTTGTGCCAAACAATCCTTCACGAACTGATGTCAGCGTAGCGTGTAGTAGTACAGAGTCAACTTACTAGACGCCATTTTTTTCTGATGGATCCAAGGAAACGGAAGGAGCTTACAACCAAGTATACTCTAGAACAGTCTAATTTTGTTAGAGAAATTTCGAGAAATAAAAACTAATTTTAAAAATTATTAAAAAAAAATACTATTAAATTAATTTTCTTTCTCGACTCTCTCAAGCCCAGATCCCCAGAGTGCAAGCATCACTTTCAAAGTCCACTTTAGGTGAACGTATGTCCTAAGCGTACTAACCTTTAAGGTACACGGTAGTGAAGTTTTCAATATAAAACCAGTGACACGCCACCGACTTTGGTTTTTTTACGGACTTTCTCCAAGAAGCAGACGCACCATCCGCCACAGACTCTGCCACAGCTAATCCACGAAGTTCGAGTTTGCTTGGAATGAGGTACCACAACCAGACATGGATCATCTCATTTTGTCGATGCCTAAACGGATACAGGAGTGTATTTAGCTGCGGGGTCGCCCAACACATTATTATTTTTTTTCTTATTTACTTGTCAATAAAATTTCGTGAAAATGTTATCGTTACACTATTGATGCAAGACTGACTTATTGCCAAAAAATCAACACTTCAGATATGATCTTTTGAATTTATTGAGACCACCGCACGGGTTCCACCTAAAAAAATAAAAGTTATCCCTTTGCATGGTTATAGAAATGTTTATGATCATGCGGAGACTTTTATCTTTTTAAGCGTAGGCAGCAGCGGTGTGATTATGGGTCTCAGTCGTCGTGTGCCGCGGAGGTTCAAATCCCGTTCCAAAAGAATTTTTCTCTAGGCTATTTATTTTTGTCATTGTCTGCAGGTGGTAGACGGTCTCAGACTGTCAAACGTAGAGGTACAAGCCGATGGATCCTAAGGTGGGACCAGAATGTGTGCATGCACACGTGTTCCCTCGCTAGAGTCCGTGTGGCACCCCTCCCCTTTTCTGTATGCCCCACAGCTCTTCGGTACTCATGGGAGTTTAGGCTTTCCTGGTGGTTCAAGTAAAAAAAAACTTCCCTTGATACATGTATTATATTAGTAGTAAATTATTTATTCTTCAATACTTTACCGCCCTGTATCTTAAATGTTAAGACGTTTTCTTCTTAAAATGAACCCAAAACTGGCTCACTTAAATATTGACATTTAAATAGGAAACATCCTGTATATAAACTGCAGAGTACTTCGCAAGAAGGAGGCTCTATTTCCTTGTGCAGTGAACAGCGTTTGAGAACTTTCACCATGATAACATCCCAAATCACTTATTCATTTGGTAGAGTTGGACCATGAAGTAATTCATATTTTTCTTCTTTTATTTGAAACGAAACAGAGTACTGGTAACGATCCCCCATAAAACATGCAGGGAATTTTTTTCAGTGCCATCAACATGCTGTCACTCAAACAAGGAGACGTTCGAAAAAGAGGAAATAAAGAGGTTTTTTGAGCAAGCTCGCTATCGCTTCACAAAGCGGAGTGAATTTCTTTTGTATGCCGAGTACGGCCGCTGGGGGATTTTCATTCGTTTAAAGGGACGACTGCGTGTGTATGCGTTTGACGCTTCGTTTTTATTGATTTGGTGCGTGACAACATTCTCAATAATACCAGTAGGACAGCTGGGGAGAAGGAACAAAGGGCATCAGATGACAATTTTATTTATGAGCCGGGTCTGAATGGTTTGGTAGGATACAGATCAATTTCCCTTGACGTAAAAGTTTTGAGAAAAAGTTGTACCCGAAACAGATAAACAAATCGTGGACTGTTATTAATCACGTCAAATTTGAGTAAAAAATGTCGTAAAAACTTGAATTCCACAAGAACATCTACAGCTTTCTTTGGATGGTTACCCAAATCTGAATTTGTGGACTTGTTCGGAGATCGAAATTTGATCCAGACAACCATCTATAGCGCTATAGTAAACTGTGAATACGGTAAGAATGAACGAAACAATTCAATTTTTGTCAACTATTCAGCCATTATGTTACGTGTTTCCACTTTATTGCAACCAAACTATCTCGTATGCATTGTACGAGCCCCTTCCTACTTCAGTTGGCCCAACTATTGAAATCTTAGTTTTCTTCTTATCAAACACAATTAATAAAAATGTAGCAGGGTGTTATAGGTTTAAAATATTAACAATAAATATTTTGATAATATATAGTAGAAAACACCAACTTTATCACTCCCTAGTCAAATTTGCAACATAAAAATAACACATGTTGCAATTACAGCATATCAACCTATTTTCATTTCAATGCAAAATAATTAACGCATAGGTGGCTGTGAAAAATAAAAGCCATGACAATTGTTTTTATTAATCACAGCTGTTACGTTTAAAATAGTTTTGGGTAGTTATGGTTTTCAAAATGGGTAGAGAAAAGGTTATTAGTGAGAAAATTCGGTTACTGATAATTAATTTTTTTAATTCTGGGAAATCAAACTCAGAAATTGCAACTTTGTTAGACTTATCGCGGTACAGTGTGAGAAATATTGTTAGAAGATATAACGTTCAGTTAATAATAGGCCACGATATGTGAAAAAAAGTAATATCACAAATGCCGGCCGAAGAGCATTAAGAAGAATAATCGTGAAAAATAGGCGTGCCAATTACTTACATTTAAGTACTCTGTGGAGTGACGCTGTTGGAAGGAGAATTTCGAGGTCCACAACTCTAGAGAGGCCCACAAACTGGGCTTTAGCGCTTGCAAGGTAAGTTTTCTTAAGTGTAAAAAAAAGTGAAGTCAAAACCCTAAAGTTGCACAACTTGTTTATAGGCCAAAGAAAAGCCACTATTAGTTCCACTGCAGAAGAAAAATCGGCTTAGATGGGCTAAAGAACAGGGCCGATTCCAAGTTTGTGTTGGTGACAGTCGAGATATTCGCAAAAAAATTAACCATTCCATGTTGACTGTCTGAAGAGAAAAGTGAAATTTCCAGCATCCATTATAGTCTGGGGCAGTATGTCATCAAAAGGAGAAGGAAAGCTTCATTTTATTGATGGAAATGTGGATACAAATATTTGGCAATTTTAGAAGAATCGCTTTTACCAGTGATGGAAAAATGTTTGACATCCGGCCAAGATTTTGTGTTTCAGCAAGATGGTGCAGCGTGCCATACCTCAAAAAAGGCTATAAAATGGATGGAAGAAAATAATGTACCACTTTAGAAAAGGGTTTCTAGCAGTTCAGATCTGTCACCTATTGAAACTTTGTGGCACGAGATGAAAAAGGTTCTACGACAACATCCTGCTCGTACAATCACCGAACTGAGACAAAAGCTTCAAGAAATATGGGATTGTTTTACACCAAATTTTTGTCAAAACTTGGTTAACACTATGCCCCAAAGAATTTCAGCCGCAATAAAAAATAAAGGTGATGTTACCCAATGGTAATCTTTGAAATGTTGCTTTGTTAACTTCGCGCAATTATTCGCACATTGTTTATTTGTTCAGATGTTCTATTTGTTATAGGTCTAAGTGATTTCAAATATATATTTTTTACGACTAGAGTGTATCTAAAATGTTTTTGAGAAAATGAATTGTTTTAGTAGTAAACAGTTTCGTCATGTTTAGTTTATAATGGCATATTTTGGTACATCTTGAAGTGGGCCAACTGAAGTGGGAAGTGGCTCGTATACGCGAGGTTAAGAAAGAAAGAAAACTAACACATTACATTCATCTTGTTTACTTACGTATCGGCCATTGTGAATTTCATACACAAGTATATGATAAGATTCTACCCTGTCATAACGGGCTATTGAATGACTTGCGCAACAAATTTTATTGTGATTCTACTGGCTTCGGATTTGAATTACATTGTAATAATATGTCAAGATGAAAATCTGAACTTGTTTTGCGTTAAATCTTCCGCAAATCCTATATTTAGACACAATTATTTGATTTTCAATAGAAAAATATATTGTTTACCCAATATGGCGAAAGGTTATGTATAATCTTCCATCTTGTCTTTGGTTTATTAGAACATGGTGATATCCGCAGGTGTTGTACAGCAAACAGATACGGACAAAGTCGAATTCTTTACTCAGAGTTTATACCAGATCTATATCATCTACTGTTTGAAAACTTGATAAAACGTCACAAACGAATATTCATGCGTTGCTTGCCTTTAAAAAGACATATATTGGCAAAGGCATATAACCTAAAAACATGACAGCAGAAAGTTAGGTTGTGGCGAAGTTATATATCCTATTTCAGGAGTATCCATCACGGTAGAATGACAGCTGATTACCTAGTGATATCTCAAAATTCCCCATATCGGCACAGGACAGATAATTCTGACGGATCCGTCAACGTCAGGTAGTCAGAGCCGTATTTTGTTTTGGTTTTTTGTACGCTACAGATTTATGTTGTACTTTCTAACAGCCTTTAGAAAAGTTCATTTGCTTACAAAAAAACAAAACGCTACAAACAAGTTTTACTAGATTTACACCCGATTCATTATTGCCAACGTCGCAGGCTAACACAAAAATTTCACTTGCTCCCCAGTAGACGTCAAAGCGTGATGGATACTCGTGAGATAGGGTATATATCCATATATTTGTAAACAAATGTATGTCGAGCACAGCAATTTTGTATAAAAGTAGTGGTATTGTTGCAGATGAACAGTCTTTAACGGTTACTAAACGACAGTTCTATAAGTGCTTCCGTTGGGAGCAATTTGTTAGCTGAAGTAGTAATTTTGTACACTAAAACAACTCATGTTTGTTGTATAAACATTACCATGGATTTTGACTACCCCACAAATGTGTCATATAAAATAGTTATATAAATGTGTATGCAACAATTCAAAATTTGTCCTATAAGGTGTTGTAAAACTATGCTACAAGAATGTTTTAAGTATCTGATTAGATTTCTGTCTAGAAAATAGTAATGTATCTATCGAGAGGCGGTGAGAGTCTAGTTCTAAGCCCAAAGATCCTGGCGCCAGAGCCCTCTTCAGTAAGCGAGCCGCGCGAGTAACAGACTTGCCCACTTTCTTCGCACACTCAACAATGAACTTGTGGTTAAAAAGATACTTAAGGGTGATCAGGTCACCCCTGTTCAAAAGGACGAGATCCCCCTTTGCAGTTCGACTAAGATGGCCGTGTGACCTCTGAGAGGATTCATGAAGGCCCAGCCCCTCCACGGATCACTAGAGATCCAACAGAGCTTCCATTGCACTCAATGGTGTCTTTGCTTGTGATACAGATACTAGCAAAACGCTGATTTTTTTTGATTTGAAGATGGTATACTTTTCATTTAATTTGCTGAAAAGAAGAGCTCCTATTTTATCACAAAACAGGGTTAACAGGCTGGTAGAAAGCTCGTAAGACAGAATTGGAATATCTAGTCAAACGCTAGGTGGCTGTTTTAGGGTTTCGTACAAATCCGTGCAGAGGACGAATCATCAGCACCACAATATAATATTTTAGCATGGCTTCGCTACGTACCATTGTGCCAGGGAATCTCTGGAATAGTTGCAATAGAATAGTTTTAATTATGTACCGAGAGACGATAACCGTTCAAATGTACTACAAGCACGGCCAATCACAGAATTTTGGTTGCTGTTTCGAAAAATTAATAACAACGGATATGAAGCCCAAAATGAGTAAAAATTGTATAAAATTACATTTTAGGTAGATTCTGGAACTGGCCATAAGCAACGTCCAACTTAAGATGTCTTAACCAAGCTGCGTGCTATCGAGGTGGTCCGATATCAATGATGTATTATCAAGAGATTTATAATTATCCATTATTATTATTATTTAAAAAAAAATCGTTATTTCATTGATAAAACCTGTTACATTTTTTGCGAAAACTTCTGTCCCATATGTTAGTTGTGAATCGTAAGCGCTGATATATTCATTTGAAATAATACCAGTTTTGGTTTTCATAGTGTGTTAGGTAATGCTAGGCTTCATAAGGGCTGCAGGGTACCCACGCGGCGGAGTAATTTGGAAAGAAAATCTGTAGAAAATTAGTACTTTGGCAGCTTTTCTCTGGTAATGCGATTGATATTAATCGCTACGTTGCTGGTAATTGAAAACTGAACAGCGCGGGAAAGGGGCTTAACTTAAGCAGAGCTTCTGACATCGAGGGATGGCAATTGAAAAAATTAAAGAGCGGGTGTGCTTCCAGCTTCCACGGTACAACAAATATCAATTGTTTGACTTCTTGAAACACTTTATGGACCCGAGTTTGCTAAGACGCTCCCTTATTGAGAATGAGAAAATGAGCATTTCAGAAAAAAGTTGCTAAGCATGACTAGCCGAGTAAAAATGAGAAAAATTAGTCCTCTGGCATGTACTAATTCATTTCTGTTCAGTTTTTCTCCCCCATCCTTAACAGCATATCAATTCAAGCATTTTCAATTATTAGTGGAATACTTTAAACTTATACTGTAGTTTTCATGCTGATAGGACTCCATTGTCTGACTGATAAATCAAAGCAATATATGTTATAATTACTGCTTACTGTACGACGTTTCGATCACGACGAACATCTTTTTCAAGTAGAAAGACAACTAAAAACAATATATTCTGTTTATCTCTCAAGCGACAGTTCATTTACTTCTTCTTTTCTTCAGAACCATAATGTGATGCATCAACAGCTTGAATGGTCCTATGCCATACCAAGATCGTGCAAAGCCATCACTGAAAGCGACAAGCGAGCCTGATGAGATTATTTGTATTTTTTAATGTACCAGGTATGTAAGCCTCGCCATATAAGAACGTGAAGTTGTCGTGACATACGTTCTTGGTGGCGTTCTCGGAGGGCGTTTAGCGTTTTCGGGACGATGGTCGAGGGTGACGTATCCTGTATAATAAAAAAACGACAGACCTCATGCTCGCTTGTCGCTTTCGTGGAGCTAGATGTCCTTCGAAAGTGGTAATGCAAACCACAGGCGATCCTGGGCTTTTCTGGTTTCACGCGGTGCCATCTTACTGTAATGATAGCATCGCACGGTCTCTGCATGGTACAGAACCGTTCAGACTATTGACGCAATGCTCTGTATGGGATTGAAGAAAAATAAATGAGTGTCACCATGAAGACAGATAAACAAAATAGATCAATCACCGTGTTGAACGAAACGTCGCACAGTAAACAGTAATTAAAAAATTTGATTTAGCGGCTAGACAATGGAGTCCCATTTTGTAACATGTGCAGATTGAAATCGCACGTTTGAAATATGTTTGGAATTTAGGTTTTCTTCTTCTTTTCAGATGCTCGCAACAATGAACTTTGTTTAAAAAAAAATATTCTGAAGAATTATCATCAATGATATTTGTTTTAAGAAGCTAACAAACTGCTCTTGGAAAAGTGCATGGAATATATTGTAATAATATATATATATATATTAGTGACTTTGAAGTTGAGTCATTAATTTTCAGATAATGATTGTAGAAGGAAGATAAACCAAAATATGTGTGTAAAAATAAAAAAAAAATAAAAAAAAATGTTTACCTTGTTTTATAAAGTATCCTCCCGACAAGTATTTCAGTGCGGACCTGTATTTGATCGTGAGGTGCCCTGTGAGGTCTTAAGTCACCTGATTCACGAGCCCGTTGTACTACATTAACAAAGGCACGAGGGGTTGGTTGCACTCGATTGGGAAACCGATCCGCATAAACATGTGCCATTTTTTATTTCGTTTGAGCCACGCAACAGACACTATTCACACGCGACTGACACTGACTGTATGTATAACTGAACTGAATGAAATAAAAACATCGTTCCAAATTCTTTCGCTTTTTTGTTTCCGATGCGATGAACAGATAAGGTGGATTATATCGGTTGTTGCCAAACACGAGTACATGATATTATTATTGAGACAGGGCGGTACTCAAACTTCCAAAGGGCTATAACTTTGTTACTTTAATTTTACCAGAAAAATGGTAAAGGAAAAAACATTTCTTTCACTGTTAAAATAAATGACTCAACTTTGAAGTCACCCTGTATATATATCGTTAAGTAGGGCCACCATCCTTGTTACGTAAATATGGTTATCTGATGGTGAGGATTTCAAATTCATAGTCAAGTACATTGTTCTGATAGGCGAGCTAGCTGTGGAGCACTGGCATAACGGCCGTTTTGTTACTATGTGCCTAAACTAGGATTCTTTATGGAGTGCACATTTGCTGCAAGATGTTACAGAGGCCATATGATCGAGTAAAAATATCGCATTCATCTAGTT